AAACTGTTAGAATAGAATGGCGGTTGCAACTAGCTTTTTCAACAGCAAAACGATAAGACCTAACTTCCAGTCCAGCAGAACGCTTAAATTCCCTAGTCAGTTGTCATGTATAAAAGACAGGGAAACTACTTTAAGTCGGTGAGAAAGTGACTGCAATCGTGATGCCTGATCAGGATCAATTATATTACATACCCTTCGAATTAAGAATCTCAAGATATAGAGACGAGGCACCAGAGTAGATATAGCTGCAGTATTCTGCTAGAGGGATTCTGAAGAGAAGACATTTCTGGTACGATATATTAAACCAATATTCCTAGAAACAGACGTAACAGTTGATTCGATATATTACCTCGACATTTTTGTCAGTGGAAAACATATCCACGAAGGTATAACGTATTGTCCTTTTGGAGTTTATCATTAGCCATGCTGATGGCAGGCAGAAAAGTTTCTACGGTGATTATATGAAAAGTGTTTCGTTTTTGGAGATATAATTTACAAGCCATTTTCTTGATTCAGGTAACCACTGATTGGAGGTCCTCTTCGAGAGAAGCTGCATGGTTTACTTTGTCGGGTCGTTCAAATTTGCTACTAAGACAAGAGTAAATGGTTGTTTTATCCGCATAAATACTTGGAAGATGTTCTGATGAGCTCCATTCTTTAGTTCCACCAGTTCAGAGATTTGCTGCTATGACTCATCACGCTAGCTTCAAACCACAGTCATTTTTTTCCGTGATTCAAATGTTTAAATCATTTTCTTTTCCCAGCAATTTAACTTTATGGAACAAACTCCCGCCTGGATAGTTCCACGAACACATCAATAGTAACCTCATCAGGTCTAAATTCAATCATTATTTAATTTTCTTATCCTTATATAAACTTCGTTTCATATAACCTTCGCTTTCACTAATTTCACACCTCAGTTCGCTTTTATATATTACCGTAGACTTCATTAGGAATTTAGTAGTAATACTCTTACTTCAGTACACCGGTCTCCGTACGATCGCCAAAGATAAGCAACGTAGAGCTTGAGCTGTACCTACATGGGTGAGCGTTTGGAAAGACAATGGTCTGTAAGCTTGGATGTGCGGGTGGTATGATGGATTGAAATTGTTAATCGGAGAGGAGAGTTCCAATTTCCGCTGGGGGCGCTATATTTACTTACACGTAAATACCCTTGGGAAACAATTGAATCTAGGTCTTCTCCCGAAACTATGGGTTAAATGTTTAAGATTAAAGTATTGTTATCTCCCAAAACTATTTTTTTTACAAACTAAAAATATTTTCTAGCTATATATTAAGTCATGGACATATTCATTCGGGAAAGATATGAATCTCTCTCTTCCCCACAGGTACAGATTAATCAAAAATATTTTCTGTTTTTAAATGACCTCCAAAGAGTTGATAAACCGTAAAAAGTGAATAAATGTATCAATCAATAAAACTTGAGTGTTTTTTTTTTTTTTGTATTGGGTAAATATTGGTCTTTAAAGCCTGCCGCGTGGTCTCTCTCTCTCTCTCTATATATATATATATATATATATATATATATACACACACACACACACACACACACACGCTACCGTGGATACACACACACACACACATATATATATATATATATATATATATATATATGCTATCGTCGATTTAGATTAGAGCCTTAACTAAAAGCCAGGTGTAGAAGGATATTAAGCGTGCAGACACTGCACCTCTGTTAAGGTTAATGAAACACTGTATTCTCTTTCAATTTTTTTTCCAAGTTTTGTTTAGTAAGTTTTAATTTGTAAATATCAAGAACACATAAGAAAAGAAAATAAAACATATTTTTATGATGGAGGAGAGAATGGAGAAAATATGTAATTTTAAAGTTGTAAAAGTAATAAAAGAGCGGATAATTAAAAACACTGATACGAAAATTATAAGTCGAATAAAAAATTAAAAGCGCGATTGGTTGCAAATACATAGAAAGTAGATGAATCTGAAAGCGAAGACGAAGAAAACGGTGGGAAAAGGCGGGAAAAAGAGAAGCAATGTCAAGATTAGAACAACAAAAAGGTACAAATAAAAAAAAAACCTGGGAAAGTGGAGAGAAATGTGAATCGTGTATTAAAGAATTAGTAAAAATAGTGAACAAAAAAAAAGAAAAGAAATTGAGCCAAATAAAGACGGGCCATAGACAAAAAAAAAAAAAATAAAGAAATGTTTGAAACACATGAAATGACGCAATAGAATTCGCGATAAAGATCGAAAAGAAGTAAGAAGCGTTAAAGTAAATTATTCAGATAGCGAAGACGAGAATTAAAAGAGGAAGTGATTAAAGACAAGGAGAAGAAGATAGATTTGATGACCAAAAACACAGACGTAGAGAATGAAGGTGAAAGCTTCCCAGTGTTTCTTCCGTGTGACAAAACTAAGGACCTGTCACAGGCAGAAATTAACCAAGGTCCCTGGGGCCTTAAACATGTAATTAGGGATAAAGTTTCTTTGCTTGAAAAGCTGG